GTATGTATGTGTATAATAACTGTGATAGTATGTATGTGTATAATAACTGTGTGATAGTATGTATGTGTACAATAACTGTGTGTGATAGTATGTGTGTTACCTGTGTGTGATAAATGTATGTGTATAATAACTGTGATAGTATGTATGTGTATAATAACTGTGTGTGATATGTATGTGTATAATAACTGTGCGTGGTAGCGCTAGTATATATGTGTATAATAACTGTGATAGTATGTATGTGTATAATAACTGTGTGATAGTATGTATGTGTATAATAACTATGTGTGATATGTATGTGTATAATAACTGTGCGTGGTAGTGCTAGTATGTATGTGTATAATAACTGTGTGTGAAAGTACATATGTGTATAATAGTTGTCTGTACAGCAATAGTATACACATATGTAATACCTGACTTTGACAGTATGATACACTTATAACTCATTATTGATTTGGATTGTTATATGCTATATGATCATCAAAATTTGGTGCAGATGCATTGATGGTATATCATATGTTGTAGTGTTGATGTTATTGTGTTGAGAGAATGCCTTAATACAACTTTCAAGTTCTATTTACAATTTGACATACATGCATTCACCATCAGTTTTATTTGGATTGAAATTTACTTATAGCTAGCACAGGTATATCATAATAGTTTTATGTTTTTGACTCCTTGAAATCAAATCAAGTGTATTCCTATCTAAGCTTTAACAGTAGCATTTCAAAACTTTCATTTGATACAGATTTATAGCCATTCTAGTTATTAGTATAATTTAGGAGAATATTACAATCTATTTAACTGCATATACATATACTAGAGTTGATTATGTACAAGATTGTTCTGTCAGCTGTATATGAAACCAGACTTGTAGTTATTAAAATTCTGTAGCTGTGAGGGCACTGCCAACATTAAAATTATCTTTATAATTATGTATTGATCTACAAACTTCATACAATTTATTTCTATTATGTATTAAATCTTGTATTTTGCAGGCTGGTGAATTTACAACACAGAGGAAAGTCACCAATGTGCATAGATGCTGTCTAAAGTGATTATGATGTCATTATTTGATGATTACTTCAATATTTACTCTTTCATTGTAAATGTAGCAACCAATATATTATGTGACATTAATCAGAAGTCTGTTGTTTTATCTATTGATACTTTATAGGATTATTTGGGACTATTGTCTCTTTTTATGCTCCCCGAGCCATAAAAAGGACCATAACTTCTGACTTGCTGAAGAGTCTCAGCAATGAAATTTTAGTGATATATACGTATGTGGGATAGTAAGGCAATATATATGTTACATACCACTATTTGGTCCCTATGCCTGGAGGTCAATGTCACATTTAGGTCATAGGTCAAATTCTTTTTCAGGGCACTTCTGATTTGATGAAGATAACTCAATATAAGTTATATATACAAGATTGTCAGGCAGTATATTATGTAGTACCACTATGGGGTCTGTATAGTCAAGGTCTCATTAAGTTCAAAGGTCAAATAATTCTTACCCTGTATACCTCCAAAGGCAAGTGATGTACAGAAGAAAGACAAGCTTTGTTGCATACCTCTTTGGTTGTTCATTCACTTTACACAGTTAAGTACGTAAACTGAGATAATAATAGTGCCAGGCATGATAAATTTCAGGTAAAGATACATGTATTATGCAACCACTATTCCAGTCCCAAATTCCTTTTTTTGGGAGCACAATTCATCAGTTTTAGTGATTTTCTTATTTCTTTATATGGTTATTAAAATATTCAAGTATTGATAGAGGAATATTTACCATACAGTATACAGGAACAAAGGCTCAAGTGACCTAAACACTTTTCTTCCAAACTTATATTTTTTATATTTTATCTTCCTCGGATGTACCAGAATCAAAAGTACTTCATGAATGAAAAGGTCCTTTAAGTTGATTTATCTGAACTGTAAATTTATTTTCTCCTGGTCATCAGTTCTCCCTTTGGGAAGCTGAGGTAAAGTTTACTAGACTTTATACAGGAAAATAGCACTTTTTTGTATATTTTGTCAATTTTAAGCAGGAAATAATTCAAATGTAGAAGGAAAAATTATGATGAGATGACAATTACCAGTAGTTGTTATGAGAAAATAGGATCCTGCCTCCCTCCTGAAGCTGGAGGGGTGGGGCCCAAAAATGGAAAATTGGCTAAAACTTCAAGTCTTTTTTCTTGCACTAGGATGTACTAGAATCTTATTCTCCACATGGATGAAAAGGCCCCTATCTGCTTTATCTGAATTGTTATTTTATTCTATTTTTCTCTTAGGGAGAGTACAGTTTACTATTGCTTAAACAAGAAAGAACACTTTTAGGTACAATTTGTCCACATTTAGCAGGAATTAATTAAAACTTGGTTGGAATAATTATGATGAAATTGAAATTAGATGGTTTCAGAAAGTAAGGTACCGAACAGCTACCCAAAGGGTAGGCCAAAAGTTAAAAAAAAAATGGCTAAATAATAAACTATTACTTTTCATTCAATATCATTGTTTAAACATGTATTATGTTTGGATCAATACCATTAGTCTAAAGTTTTACCAGTGCACTTTACTTCAGCAATATAATTATCACGCATGATTCAAATTAGAATCTATTATCATTTTGCTATAATGTACATCAAATCATTTGGATCAGTTCTCTGATGTTCTGAACCTAACACATATTACATTGGGTCCTTTTCTACATGTAAAGACATTATTGAAAAAAATGAACACATTTCCTGCTCTAAACTATATATGGTGGGAATGCAAAACATGCATAATTTCTGCTCAGCTGCATGCTATAATGCAATTCCTGTAGGAACTCTTTATCTACATGTAAATCGGAGATTTATACCGATATAAATCTCTGTTTTAGATAGAGTTCCTACAGGAATTAGGTATAATGTATATCTGAAGGATACATAAAGTGCAGTTTCCATACTTGCCGACAATCCCAATTTTGGAGGGAGGCTAATATAGCCATTAATATCTCATGCTTCATATGCTTATTTAAATTTTTTTTTTTTTTTTTTTTTTGTGTTATTTTCTCAAGTCTTTTCCAATGCGAATCTCCATACAGATCAGAATTGGTTATTATCTTCTTTATTCACACCGATCCACGTTCCCGTGTCCCCCATTTGTATATATACTGCCTACCCATATGATGAATACCTCTTACTTTTCTCCACTCTTCTCACATACATATCCCTCTTGTAATGCCTAAGTCATCGTCTTCATCGGATTGCGGATCCTTTTCACAGTTATCACGATTTCTTTTCTAGGTAACTCTCCACTCCCTGTATATTTGTAGAATAAAATATGTTTAAACTAAAATAAACTATATGATAGTTTGTTAGTCGTTTTCAGTACAATAAACAGGGGGGGGGAGGTNTTGCACGTCGCTGATGCTATAAAACCCTACACAATTAGTGAAAAATGAATAAAATACAACAGAAAACCAAGACTATATACTGCACCGCTTCGACTTTACCGCGATAGGAAGTTAAAGTTTTTTCGAGCATGCGCTGAAAAAAATTACGAAACTGTGCAAAAACTGTGCTAAAAAAAGCTGAACTAAAATTACAGAGGTGCAATGTGCCACATTCTGTTATCATTGGAAGGGAGCTAACTCTTGCTTCTTTCGTTGCAATTCATAGTTTGACAAATAACTAATATTAAAATCAAAAACATTACTTCTTAATAAGTTACGAAAACAGTTTTGTAGACATTTTGTCTCTCCTTTTTCTTCTTCTTCTTCTTCTTCTTCTTCTTCTTCTTCTTCTTCTTCTTCTTCTTCTTCTTCTTCTTTCCTCTGCTTCGTACTCCAGCCCCGAATCTGTCAGCGGAGTTTCCCAAAATAAACTGTGTACGAAGCGAAATAAAATTAAACTTGGCATGAGTATTGGTCGGCATACGTACCTTTGTGTTTGCCACTGTGAGTTCAAGATGGCCGTCGCGACCACTGATTGTTCGAAATTTAGATACTGACCGATCACAAATTTGGTATGTTGATATATATTATATCACTAAGAGCAGTGCAGTAACAACATTAAGCATCACCAACGACTGCGGGGTCTTTTTAAGCTTATATTTAATAACGGCCGCCGTAACTTTGTTTTTGTTACGTTCACCTTTATTTTCTTTTAATGACCATGACATAGTTTAGTTTAGCTTTTTTTCCGACTCAAACATGTTGTTTTTTTTAAATATATATGTATACACGCGTACACATATATGACATATTTTTTATAAAACCCTCAGGAATGTATTCGCCAGTGAATACCATAGAAACGCATGGTATTTCTTTCTATCCGGTGTAATAAAACAGACTATTAATAGCTGGTGTCAATAGTATATAAATATGATAAAGTTACAAGTTTATAAAAACTACATATAAATACAGAATATTATTTTGTCTGTCGTTATTCTCCTCTTACCCCTTAATTATATCAATAAACACATGTTAGGCGCTGTTCTATCCGTTAAGCATATCAAACATCATCTGGCAGGTAATTTGATTTATTCTATTTACAATTAATAACGGAGATTGAAAAATACATACAGACTCGTACATGTATGTCATAACTGATATTTTATTGATTGTTGACAAAGCACATATTGCATGTAAAGCAAAAAAAACATGATATTAAGTCCAATGAAGCTTTAGATAATTTAATTTATGAAGTGACAAGGCAGGCGACGGATGGTTTCATTTTACATAATGGTATAAAATCACAAAATCAAAAATTTAACATGATGCTGTCAAGTTTCTTTATCATATGTGCGCAGACTGATAAAAGAAAGATATCCATCAATTTCGGAGAAACAAAATACATCTTGTTGTAATATGTTTAAGATCTTGGCGATATTTCTGGTAGCTTATCTACATTAACTGTTTAAAATCAGAAAAATTGCTTGTTTATTTTTTTTTAGCAACTGTTTTATTTAATTAAATACAATTGTAAGGAATGTGTTAATAGGTAAATGATTTTTTCTGCATCAATTAAAAAATAAACTATATGTAAACATATGTTTGTTAAGTAAGGTCGAAACTTCACAAACGCACATATGAGAGAAGGGAAGCAACTCGTGTAGGATAAATAGGTGAAGATAATGTAAAATGTAGCTGTGAACATATCGATCTTAACTTGTAACATGTTCTCCAATTCACGACAGGCTACTAACTTGTATTTGTGTGTGTTTGAGTTTTTTTCGGATATGAAGTGGGGAGAAGACGTGATCCTGAGGATAATGTCACTGTGAGCATATCGATATTAACGTAAACAGGTAACACTTGTATGTGTGTGTGTGCCTGACGTATCAAAGGGCACCCGTCTGTTTAGTCAGCAGTACGTGCTATATATACACCTTACCTAACCCGACAGGATACTGCAAGTTTAGACGAGTCGTTGTGACGTAGCCAGGGTAGTACTATATAAGTAGATGTTGCTCCACCGTCCGGGTATTGCCTTGCGTGCGTGGCTGAACCGATTTCGGCATAAACACCGTCACCAGTCTTTTGACTGATCCGTCCGAACCAGACCAAAATCTGTACAAAGAGAGGACATATATATGCCAGGCTATTGCTTACAGCTACCATACATATTATTATACAAAGGAGCTGTTAAGTGTCTGCGGAAGCGAAATGAGGTCACGACAGGTAATGCGCGAAATTTGAAGTATAACAATTAACAAATTTAACAGTAAAGATATCGTGATGCAGCGCATGATAATTACCCAATACCATTTACTATGTGGACTTTAGTATTACAGATTGATCCTGTACATAAGCAATAAAAATGATACGTGTACATAGCAAGGTTAGCATAGTCAATCATTAAACATTAAGGCTGATCGGTGTCTTCAAAACAATAGTTCACTGGACATATAACATGTTAATCTCTTTTGTGACCCGGACGGATGACATATTATCTAAAGTTCATGTATTTACCTAGGTCATGCGGAGCTTAATGTCCTTTTTAATGGCGATGGAGAGGCATAAAAAAGTTTTGATATCGTGGACTTGAATTATCAAAACTTGCGTTTTCCCCTTAGAAATGGGTTTTCCATTTTTTGTTACGTTTTGTTTCAGAAAAGGTCATCTGAAAAGATGGCAAATAAAACTCCAAGATACAACCTTAGAGAGGGTCGCCATATAAACTGGGAGATATATTTTGATACATCGTATGAGAAAATGATGGCGAAAGTACGTCCCACCATTCCTTACGGACTGAAAGTTCACAACTTCCGACGGATCATCGCACGAAAACAGATAAAGGTACTCAGTGGACTACATACATGTATTATGTACACCATATACAGTCAAGTCAATAGTACACCATATACAGTCAAGTCTATATTATACCATATGCAGTCAAGTCTATATTATACCATATACAGTCAAGTCTATATTACACCATATAAGGTCAAGTCTATATTATACCATATACAGTCAAGTCAATAGTACACCATATGCAGTCAAGTCTGTATTGTCTATGTTAACGTCATATATCACAATTACATTGATGCATTTTAAAAGGATAAGTTGCATAGCAGGGACCTCCTTCATAATCTTATACATGTACCTATATATCAATAGTATATACCATGTCTGTCTTGGGGGTTTCCCTGCTTAATATCTGTAAATGAAGATATAGGAGTTGTTTTTAATGATAGCGGCATTCTTCAGAACTGAAAAACTTCGATGTACATATAACATTAAAAAAGACATACTGATAAGATTGGGGCAGTTTTTAGCTAAATATTAACTAAATATTATATATACTTAGATGTTTTAACCTACATATTCACTATACTTTCTGAAAGAGGTTTATAATATATCTACTTTCTATCAATGTTGATATGCATCCTTTTTTTAACTAAAAATATATAAAGTATATAGTTAATCGATAGTGTAATAGATTCATGGTTTTTAATGTTGGAAAAATTCGATTATTTTGAACCTTTTATTTCAATATAGATGTGTTAAAAAAAGGGCAAAAATATTATTCTATGCATACATCTGAGTTAAGCGCATTAAGGAGTGCAGAATTAAAAGGATAGGTGCCAGAAATTTTAGATAAAAAATATTACATAGATTGTACATCTACCATGTAAACTCGTCATAGTAATCGGTTTTCAATTTTATTTACCTGTTCAAACAACAAGGAGAGGACGATGTATCTGTTGGAATGGGAAAATTACGAACTATCCGAAGCAACTTGGGAGCCAGAGTCAATATTACCAAAACACATCAGCACCACGTTCAGCTATCCAGAGGTTAGTGAAGAGGCACTCACGCTTGTTGCTCGGCAGTTCGAATCCGCAGTACAGCGCTGTCTGGCACGACGAATTAAATATAAATCAGCAACTCCTCCATCGTTTTGTGTTGATTTCCCATTCGATATGTTCCGGTATGTGTTTGGAACCAGTGATTTGGGTCGACAATATAACATAACCTATACCAACGGCTTCAGTAAACTGCCTATGAGCAGTGGCTGGACTTACTACATAGATAGACACAACAATCGATGTCAGCTGGCATTCCCAGTGTGTATCGAACCAAGACTTACCATGCGCAAAGTGTTCAAAAACATCAATGGCAAGTTTGAATGGAGAAGACAACCAGAAGAAAAGGTTCGAGTAACCCTGGGTTTTCAACCTGTGGATAAGTATTCAAAAACTGCTGAAACAACGACAGCAGTCGATCAACCAGTGACCAACACGATGTTTGCACCTTCAGTTTAGAATAAACACGAAGATGACAAAATGATCTATTCAATTCAGCTGTTTGGTTTATGTGCTACTTAAAGATGACCAGTCAAAAATGAAGCTGCAAAATGCATTTGAATATTGGTGATATTTTGTCATAGAGCTTGCATACTTGTGATATCTATAGATAAACGAATTCTCGTTTTCTGTGAGATTTATAGTTTAAGACTGTCGGCTAACCGTATATTATGTTCTTGCCATTATGTTACGGCCTATTCTGACCGGTGAACATTTCTTAATGTTTCATTTCATCAGTAGATGCATGTCATTGTATATCTTATTTCTCTGATTGTACCTTATGTTTTTTTCTTCTGGATTTGACATAGTATCCTTCGTCATATATTGTTGATTAGCTATTGCATTCGTAACTCAGTCTTGTTTATTTATTATTTCGTTCTCCGTTATACCTTGCCGATTGATCACTCCGTTCTCCGTTATACCTTGCCGATTGATCACTCCGTTCTTCGCTATATCTTGTGGGTTTATCATTGTACAGTCAGATATATATTGAGATATAAGCATTGTACATGTATTCTCCACAAATTGCATATCTTGTGGTTTTACTGTTGTATCCTGTGCAATATCCTGTCGGCTTACCATTGTCTGTTGGTATATTATTGTTATTATTATGTTTTACGACTGAACTTTTCATGACCTCATAAAACCATCGAAATAAAATTATCGAAAGACTGTTGCTAGAAATTTTATTATTTTTTTCAACCTTGAGCGGTTCATTCTATAAAGTAAAACGTAGTATACGAACATCTATGGATACGTTGAGTACGTAAAAGATCAGATAGATAAATGACTAAATTGCACGATTCATTGATGTACAAACACAGATCCGTTATTCAAACTGAAAATCGTCAGCACTCTGGCAAAATATGAACAAAGACCCTTGCATAAAACCGGAAAACATATGTTTAGTTTTTTGAACCATAAAAACAAATTCTTGATTTCTGTCGCTTCATGTTACACCAATGAATAAAATTACAAGATAAATACCAACTACGCGCGGAAATATTAGAATCGGATGCAGATTTCCTTACCGTGACGTCACAGAGGGTGAAGTTCCACATTAAGGGGAACTAGACTGGATGGATCGTTGAAGCTCAATTGGTAGAGTCCCGTGTAGAGTTAGGAGGGTCCCGGGTTCGAACGCCGGTCTAATAGTGCTTTTTTCGCTCTTGTTACACAAATAAGGTCCACGAATCGCTGCACTGTGTGTTTGGATACAAATTTAGCATAGTAGGGTTGGGATCCCTTTACTGGCCTGCTTAACTTTTCTCATTAAGAACACTTTTTCAGAAATGATTAATCAAAATATAGTCATTCTAGTACATTTTTGATTTTAGTAATTCATTTCGTACCAATTTTAAAAGTTATTTAAAGGTTAGCTCTAAGCAAACCTGTCATTCTAGAAACTATCAATTTTGGTAACCTGTCCACGGTGATCAAATATCTTATATACCATCAGTTTTAGTATAAAATCTGTTCGGTGTAATGTCTCAGTTATATCTTTTCAAATATTTATAAAATGTATCTCAGTTGGAAAAATAGCCTTTCGTCTTAAACATTTGAAAATCTAAGTTGTTGTTGTTTTCAAATAAAACTACGAGCAAAAAGCAAAGAAATTAAATTGGAAATTAAAATGTAGGGGAGGTAATTAATTGACTTCCTGCATCGTAATACGTGAGCTCAATCATACCTTTGAATATGTCATTTTTGTTTTGGAAAGGGTTGGAGTGGTATAGGGCGAGTGTTCTACTACAGAGTACAAAAGATCGTACAACGCGTACAATGAAATGTCTAACTTAAGTTATTAATTGTTGACTCAGTTTTGAGTATGAGATGTACTGTAGGTCTACATACATGGACAGACACTCCATTACATCAATTTAACTAAAGGTTCAGAAATCTGTTAGTAATTTTGCTCGTGAAAAATCCTGTAAAATGATATTGAATGGTTTTATTAACTTCGTTTCAACACAAATAACAATTTCAGTCACAATAGCAAAAAACAACACCTCACCTTGCAAATTGGTAGAAGGGAGTTAACCGCATGTGCCTTATAACGACAATCAGTGATATCACGAGTTGTCTCCCTTCTACCCGTGTCTCTAAGTACTGTTAGGCGTGAAAACGGCTTTGTGCTGTATTCATGCATTAAAATAATGATAATAGTACTTAATAACATATATATCATAAGTAGTATTAATGAAGCAGACTTCTTGCGTTTAATATGCTTTAAAATAAAAGGGTTGTAACTGTCTGTACAAGCACCAAATGTTCTTTCGTTCTACAGATACCCTATATGTCCAGCTGATATTGGCTTTCTATTTCTTTCGCTTATCTTTCGAACTTTCCTTTGCTGATGGTATTTCATAAAGGCTTTAGAACGTATTTGATACTTGGCTGCTGTTTATCACATACTTGTCCGTAATATGGTTTGTTTTGCATGTGTGATACATCCAGGACCAACCCATATCCGCCTAACACGCGCCAAATCCGTTTAACTTCCGTTTAACACTTTTCATAAAATCACAACTCATCGAATAAAAAAATTTCTGTGTGTTTAATGAATTATTGGTAATGATTTCGATGTTATAGAGCAGAATGTGATAAAAAGGTTACCATATGACCTCTAAATATCTTGCGTTGACAAAGTGCCAAAAACGTCAACGGGAACCTGGCCTTAACTATATATTACACGCACCAATAATTTACGGTATATTGAGAAAGAGAAAATTTCGTAGTATTTCTATGTCGTATAAACTTTAAGAAAAAAAAGTCTTGTAACCTTGATAGATAAATGAACTTTGAGTGTCCTTGCGTAAATTTAAGTGTTATCAAAAAAATACCTTTCATTTACATTGTTTATAACATATCTAGCTGATTTAGCACACTGTCGAGTGTTACTCAAATAGCACACCATTCAAACTTTATTTATCACTATTGGTCACAGAGCCTTAATTTTCTTATACAGTAACCTCTCCTTAATTCCGTTATGGATTAATTTACATCCAAAGCCAGGTTTTCATTGCCAAAAAGTAACACAGTTAACTTATTTGCGTATTTAAGTTATTGAAAGCTTTAAGCATTACTGCACGAGCATTTGGATACAATTGACACTCAAAAAAGGAATGGTAAGCATTTTCACAATGTTGCCAACAATTTTACACAATGAGAATCCTCAACTAAATTAACACAGAAGAGATCGTCTTTAAGAGAGCTACATTAATGTTTAAGTCTAGTATGTATACATTTCTTTCTCTCTCACCATACTTATAGTAACAGGGCGGACTTGTGGGAAGATGTCGGGATAGAGCTAGTTTAAAAGATGGGAAAGGCAGACGTTTAATATTATCATCTAAAGTGTTCCAGTTATTTAATGTAGAAGGTAAGAATGATTTGTTTGAGTAGAAAGTCGATAATTTGGAATTCTATAGTTGTCTTTATTTCTTAAAGCATACGGATTGTTTTCACCTACTAACCTACTAAAGGGGGGGGGGGGGGGGGGGGGGGTAATAGATTTGATAGATAGCTTGGAGTCATTTTCATATTCATCTGATATACAAATTGAAGTTTTGTTCTAGCTTTTCTATCCGAAAGTAATTCTAATTCGATAAATAAAGATTCATTTTTGGCATAAGATGGATATCCAGTAATTATTCTTGCTGCTTCACGCTGAGCCCGCTCTAACTTTTCTGAATCTAATTGAGAGCATCCATCCCAAACCTCACATGCATGTTCGAGAACAGGTAATACAAATAATTTGTAAATTCTTCATAGAGCATTAGAGCATCACACTTTAACATATATTTAACTTTTCTTAAGATTTTTTTGTTTTCATTACTGATTTATAAATTTCGTCAATGTGACCAGACCATGCATCTGAATTAAAAACGACTCCAAGATGTCTATGCAAACTACTGAAATTTCAAAAAAAATCAGTCAAAAATTAAGTCCAGATCTTCATCAATATATTTTATGAATTTGATATAAAAACAACCTCAGATTTGTTTGGATTAACAGAAACAAGCCAAGTTTTTGCCCACTTATTTTATTTTTCTAAATCTCTATTTAAACTTAATTCTAAATCTCGACATGAAAAAAGAGATTTTTTGAGAGAAGTATCATCAGCAAATAGGCGTGCTGTTGATTCTAGTTCATCAGCTATATCATTTATATAAGTAAGAAAAAGAAGAGGCCCGAGAATTGAGCCTTGGGGAACTCCGGCCCCAATCATACCAACATCACAGGACGAACTGTTAATAAATACTTTTTGCTGCCTATTACTTAAGTACAAGTTGTAGGGGTTTTTTTTTATCCGGGACAAGAAGTCACCTGAAATACCATATGATTTTAACTTGATCAGTAGACTTTTATGCCAGACTCTGCCAAAGGCTTTAGAAATGTCACAGAATATCATACAAGTGTTTCTTTTCTTCTAGGTCTAAACAAATGTTGTGATATATTTCTATTAGTTGATTAACTGTTGAATGACCGGCATAAAACCTGATTGGTACTGATAAAATAAAGCATTTTCAAAAAAATAATTATGCAAATGCTTACAAATGACCCTTTCTAATACTTTACCGACAGTAGGGAGAAGAGAGATTGGCCGACAATTAGATAGAGAGTGCCTATTACCCTTTTCAAAAAGAGGCATGACTTTTACTACTTTCCATGTATTTGGAAAGATACAAGTAGATAGTGAAAAGTTAAAAAGAAGTTCAAGAGGTTTACAGACTGTATCAGCAGTGTATTTAGGCATATGCTGACTAACTCCATCCTCACCCGAGGAGGCTTTCCAAGCTTTAAGTTATTTAAAACGTCACAAATTTCATTAGAATTAATTTGTATAGAGTTAAATGAGCTATTTGTTTTCGGCTCTAAAATAGGCACATCAGTATCACTATCGTCAATATTAGTAATACTACAAACATATTCATTCAATAGATTAGTTAAGTCTTCGTCATCAACAAATAGAGGACCAGAGTTTGGATCTATTAAAGTAGGAATAGACTCAGTGGTCCCTGAATTACCTATTAGTCTCTTTTAAAATTAGTCACCAATAGCTTTCCGGATCTCCTGTATAATAATAAACAATTAGGTCACCTACATTATCATAGAACTATACTCCTGCACGTTTTTTCATGTTATTTACCTTATTTCTCTGACTTTTAAAATGTGTTATGTCCCTTGGATGTCTTGAATTTATTGCCATTCTTCTTAATTTAGTATAGTAATAGTAACATCTCTATTTGGTATGGTATTAATTGTCTCCCAGTTGGGGCAGCACACTTCCGACGATCAGGACGCTCAGTGAATATGCTATAGTGCATTGTTACAGTTTTTGGCAGTAAAAAAAACCCGGGGATCCTTAAATATAGTACCGGAGCATTTTGCTGTGACTTTAGTGGTTTCGGATAGCTACATCTATCTTGATTTGGGGAAAGGAATGCTTCTCCCACATGGGGGAGCTGAACCTTAACAGACAGCTCAGCTTAGTATGTGCAAGTTCGGCGAAAGAATAGACCTGTATATCAGTGCATGCGGTACAAAGTGACTAATTAGAGCCCAACCCGACCCCACCCCATCCCGACCCCATCCCCATCCCCATCCCCCAAAACACCATCCCCGAAATAATCATGTTTTTTTGTTTGGTGTCATGTACTTGAAG